CCTTATTATGTTTAATACTTTTCGTTATGGGCAGGCATTTAGTATGATGACTTATACCGATTAGGATATCGAAAATATTTTAAAAATATTTTGAATAGCAGTATTATTGTTTAAAATATTTTCAAAATATTTTGAAAATACTTACCAATGCATTACTGTCTTTTAAAATGTTTTTAAAATATATAATACATATTTTGAATATAAATATTATATGTACTGATATTTTAAAAATACTCTCACGATATAAATGTTTACAGTATTGAAATACAAATATTCTGAAAATATTTTTATGATGTTTTGGGTAAACATATTATTTTTAAAAATACTAAATGATGATTCTTTAAATATTTTTTAAAAAAATAATTTTGATTATAATATTATCAAAATATTGTCAGTATTGTGTAAATATTGCGACAGTACTGACAATATTTGCCCAATATTGTAAAAATATTATGTCTTATCTGGGAAAATTTCAAAGGAATCCGCACAAACGATCTCTTGTAAAAAATTAAATTGCCCAGTTAAATTTGGCAATAGCAGATGTGGATTGGTTCCTTTCTGTTAAACTCGGTCCAAATGATCGATTATCGATATTTCCCCATTTATAATCCGTGGTAAAGAATCGATTATCAAGGTGTTCGCTGCGAACACCCTGTTTATCGATCATTTCCATAGGTATAAATGGCATAACAATCGATACATCGCAATTCACGCCACGCCACTGCTAAAGTTGCCGAATCTCCGCAGACAAAATGTCAACTTTTTGGAGAGAGTTGTGAATATAGTCTCTTGAAATCAGCAAATTTAAATCCGATCGTGAGTAAAATTTAACAAAAAAATTAGAGGAAAAATATTGACGGATTTTCCCGAAAATTGGTATTTTATAGAAAGAAATTTGGTAACATCTGAAGGTTCATACGTCGTTTTTCCTTAATGGCACGGCAGTGTAGGTGACAGACTTGTTTAGCAGAACCGTGTCACGCAACATTAGACCTTGGATACTAAAAGCAGTCTACCACTTTTGATGCTCTTATAGCTTGTAATGGCTTCTCCGAAATCTTTCGAGGGAGACCAATCGGGGATTGTTTTCGGGGGATTCCAATTAACCTTTAAAAAGCAATTTTTCCTGGTAGTGGAGGCTGACAGTTTGAGGTACGTTACTAAATGGTAATTCGTGGGACTTGAACTTGTTGAACTTATCGTGCTCTAAGGACATCTACGTTGCGTACTGAACATTGAAGGCTTTAGCAAAAAAATTAGTCTGTTGCAAGCAAAATGGTAAATTTGCTCAAAAATCACGTTTTCACTCGCAAGTCACATCAAAGTCTAAAATCCACTCCTTAGCACGCAATCTGCGTAGTTTGTAACACGCTTTTTTCTTGGCAGTTTTTCTTGGTAGCCGGCAGTCAGGTTTGCCCGAAGAGAGACCTAACCTAAATAAACAAAGAGTGTCGCGAACTGTTATAAACAAAGAAATAAAGACGGAGTGCTCGTATTTAAAAGCACGGGGAAAAAATGGAATGCATTTCTCAATTTGGAACTATAAATTCTGGCTCATCTGAAAAAACACTTGTGTGCATGGAGAAACTAATGGCACTTACGTTGTTTTTAAACCAGGCCAGAATTTATAGTTCCAAATTGCAAAATGCAGTCGAAATGAAGCCTAGTTTGGCGCTGGGTGCTTGTGTGAGTGTGTAAATGAGCGCGAGAATTCATGGCGGTAAACGGAAATTTGATTTGAACTTGTCCTCTTGATTTTTCCACATTTCTTCTTCTAAACCTGTTTTAAATGTCTACAGCGAATAGATTAAGAAAGTTGGGACATTGAATATTTATAATACACCTACTTTACAACTACTGATACACATACTCCGACAAACATAACAAGGCATACCTCTATTGAATATCAAATTATTAATCAATTAGGTAATGGGCAGTAATCTCAGACAAAGTTAGTTTTTCTTCTGCTCATGGTGGTCTTGCCGGTTCAAACAGGCCGTTACAGTCCTAGATGATCGTTACTCCCAAATGAAATTATAATTGGTCGATGACGGACCAAAAATAACCTGAAGCTAAAAAAATATATGTGGGTAAGGGAATTTGGGCAAAAATCAACCCAGAATACTTTGTTTACGCAATTTTATTCAGTTCCCGCCCTACATTTGAAAAAGAAACTTGTCCCGATTTCGCCGCCAATCCTCTAGCCAATAGTTGAGGTGGTTGAAAAGAAGCTTCATTTTTTGCTTTCACCCCTTGTGTTTATGTCTTTGGTTATAAACTCTCCTTGCGTAAGATTTTAATTGATTCAAAGCTTTTGTTTTTTTCAAAACAAAGAAATAAAAAATAAAGAAACACTAGAAAACAAATAAAATCATACTATAGAACAACTTAGTTAGTCGTTTGTTTACTTTGAGTGGTTCTTTTTTCCTCCTCTGCAATGAAGGAAAAAGTGACCTAATTCTAGCAAAAATATGCTCAAATATACCGCCGAGAGGATATCCTTATGAATCAACAAAGAAAATAATGCTTGCTTAAAGAAGCAAATATACTTATATAAAAAGATAAGTCACTTATGTCAAGCAGAAACCCGTTTTCATTCAGATATTTCATTTTTGATTTAAAATAAAATCTTCTTGGCAGCATGCTCAAGAATGTCTCTGCCTACATCGAGTCACTTTTTTCTCTGATGAAATTTAAAAGTTATGCTAAACGTTATTAAACACGGGACATGCTGGGACTTGGTGAGTTTGTTGACTACCGCTCTCTTTTTGTGCCGTAGTGTCATCATTAATTTCGCGAGGAAAGCTCTTTACTCTTAAAGGATGCCTATCATTCTTAATGTGTTGAAGCGCCTTCAATTTCGTATGATAGCGTGCAACACTTCTGTTGTGAAATAATTGCTTGAGGCGCCGTGGCACGCTGCGGCGCGCGGCCGGCCAGCGCATTGGCGCCTACAAACCTAAGTGCATACTTCAAGCATTGCGCAATGCGTGAAGTATCCCGTTCGGTTTGTAGGCGCTAGTGCGCGTCTCACGCTGGCAGCTCACCTCTCCGCTCTGTGTTAGGCTCTGGTGTTTAAACTCGCGGAGTCAGCGTTTTTCGCTTCATGATATTTAAATGTTTGGACACTCTCCGTTGATTATTTTCATTTAAATTGATGGGGATAAAAATATGTAATAAAGGAAAATATAATGTGTCCGTTTCAACTTTAATGATTTCCAAAGCACTTTAATTTTTTCTTTCACATTTTGTAGCCATAATGTGCTGCAGCCTGGTGTACGCGCAACGAACCGCTCAAAATTGGACGTATTTGGGGACCGAACCCCAACCTCTTTTTCCCGTTTTTAATTCACAATTAACGTGCGGGGCCGTTCCGGATTTGACCAAATAGGCCTGTTGCAAGCAAGAAAAACAGCCAACTGGACACCCTTCCCAAGAGTAAATTCTCTCAAAAATCACGTTAGGCACATCAAAAAAGTCTGGAATCAGCTCCTTAACGCGGTAGTTTGTAACGCGCTTTTCCAAATTCACCACGTATGCGGGCAGTTTTTCTTGGTAGCTGGTAGTCGCAGGTTTGCTCGAAGAGTGACCCAACGTATATAAACAAACAATCTTGGAAACTGTTATAAACTCTTCTTGCGGGAGATTTCAATTGACTCAAAGATTTTATTCATGCAAAATAAAGGAAGAAGAAGGAAACGAAAGCTTGAAAACAAATGAAATCATACAATAGAAGAAACTAACTTAATTGTTTATTTATCTCTGGCAGTTCTTACTCCTCTGCCTGTGCAAACCTGGTCGGCGGCGGTGACTGAGAAAAACTGGCCGCAGACGCGGGAAACTTGAGAACGTGTGTTAAGCGTGAAAACTTCCGAGTTGCAAATATTGCATATCAATCGAGCCAAGGATGAATCTTATTTCTCAATTAATCCAGAAATGAAGTCCAGGATCAATACTGCCGTGCTAAGGAAGAAGGCCGTATGAACATTCGAGAGTTGCCAAATTTCCCTTGAAAAAACATGTATTTTTAAACTTGGCAACGTCTGAAGTCTAATACGGCGTTCTTTCTTATTAGCACGGCAAGAGAGGCGAATATGATTGACTCAAATGCATGATACAATTTCGTCAACCTCCGAGAGGTTCTCTTGGTATAGCCATCGGATTAACTGCGATTGTGTCGAGAACTAGCTGCCTACTAGCTAGCTGCTGTTAACTGCCAATTTCCTAGATCTATGTTCATGCCAACTATTCTGGCGTTTCTTAATCTTAATCTTTCTCTTTGTATAGTATAGTAAACTTCTACTTCTCTCGAGCAAGGGCCTTGTCGTCTCGTGTTATACGCTGTAAATATTTAATAAACTTTAATTGAAAAAAAGTGCCAAAAAGAGGTAGCCCTTGAACACAGACCGCCAAAACCACCAACGAATTCTGAGAGTAGACCTGTCTTGCCAAATATCATTGAGGAGGTTTACATCGAGCCTTTCGGGAGCAGAGGAGACATTTCGACTATTTCGAGCCAAGATTAAGGGCTGCAGTTACAACTTTCAGTAGGTTTCCAGGGTGGCATGAAACGTAGGTAATAAGAAAGAAATGAAAGATTGGAAATTTCAATGAAATATTTCATGAAATTTTCCGAGGCTGTGGAATATTTCATATTTTTCAGGGGCTTGGAGTACGCAACCCGCGCATTCAAACACACAAAAATAGAAGAAAGTCACGATTTTTACATTTTGCGAAACATGGAAAGGTAAAGGTAATTTTCAATATCTTTCATAAATTTCTGAGATCTGAAATATTCCAGGTGAAAAGTCAAGATTTTGTGTTTCATGAAATTTTGCCACTCTGCAGGTGTCGCAGGGCAGTCGCCGAAAAATGGCCACTGAGCCACTACCATACCAACTGTCAAGTTCGTGCGCTTGCGCTCTAGATCAGAATGCACAGTGGCATTGTATAAATGACGGCAATCTTGGTCAGCGCAACTACTAAGTTGTCACCTTCTTTTGTGTCAGGACTCACTGTGTTCATATGTGTCTATGTGTGCAACAACGGCGTTTATATTCGCCAAGCAGAATGGAATTGTTCTCCAAAGTGAAGATCCTCCGCTATTTTTTTATTTTCCTTGCTTCGTCGTTTTTCTACCACACAGGAGAATCGGTATGTTGAAAGTTTGATACGAAAAAATAGGATTACGTAGCATGATGTCATCGATTACGGTGTCGACAAACAGTTTTTCTAAGTTTTTGTTGACACCAAGATCATCAAAAAATAAAAAATTCTGACTCATATGAAAGATGATCACGGTGTTAACGAAACTTAAAACTTCCCTCTATAACATCTTTCAAATTTCAAGTCTTGTTTTTCTTATCTTATTTACTCTAACCTAACCTTGCCTAACCTAACCTTACCTGACCTAACCTAAACTAACAAACTTAACCAACTTTACCTTAAGCCAAATATCACCGTTTTAAGACGTGATTTGCACAAGTGCATTCATTTACACTACTTCTGCGTAAAATTCAATACAAACCTACTTACTGACCTGATTTTATATTTCTGATAGCCACTTACAAATGCGAAAACACACTAAAATCAAAGACATGTTTTGGCCTGAAAGAACAAATATCCATCCCCTCATTTTTGAAAATTTGAGATGACCGCGTGAAGGATTTAAATCGACTTAAGGGGAGCCAGACACTTGAAAATTAAAAAAAAAAATTATTTTTTTTTTTATTTTCTGGCTAATCTTAATCTCCAACTTCTCACGTTTAATTTCAGACCAAGTTTTACTTGATCTGATGAGTAGTTTTGAAGTTACACGCGTTTTAGTGAGGGAAGGTTTGCAGTTTTTAAAGTCAAAATTACACTAAAACTCAGATTGCTCGGCCCTCCCTCGCTATGTTCTCTCCTGTTTTAATTCCTCATTTCCCGAAAACTACATTTTTCAGCACTCATGTACCTTTTTCTCAGGATCTACTGAACCGATTTTCAAAAACTTTGTTTTGTTCTAATCCTTGCACTCTCCTGCATATTTTAGCACGAGCTTTTTCAAAATTTTGAGCTGGATTTTTTAAATTTGATTTCAAATGTCCAAATTCTATGATTTCTAACAAAAAAATTTCAAAAATTCACCAAAATTTCAAATTTTTAAATTTTAAAAAATGCCCGTGTTAAAATGTTCAGGAGGGTTCAAAGTTTAAAACAAAAAAAAAGAGAAGTTATTTCTGTTTAGTAGATCCTGAGAAAAAGGCACAAACGTTAACATTGGGAAGATAGGGTGTCTGGCTCCCCTTAAACGACTTATGAAAAGCGACTCGATTTGGCATACCGCATACGTGCAATCCGTCTTAAAATCACATTATATTGAAAATTGTTTTGAAAATCTGAGGGAACTTTCCTCGTACTATGCAGAAAACTCACTGGTATTTGCAAAACAAAAATCCACACGGCAAATTTTCATGTAAAAACATTAAAAGGAAATGTTGCATGTGTGAGGAATTTGCGATTTGACTGTTGATTCTTATGTAAAGATTCGCGAGAAACACGATGGTGCCACTGGTTTTCTCTGAAATCAACTCAAAAGCTCAAAAAAAGCTCTCAAGTTGAGGCCAAAATGGAGGGATATCCCACGCTATCCTGAGAGTCCACCTTTACATCAAAACAAACTCTTCATGCAAAAATAGGGAGCAAATACATTAACAGCGCTGCCACTTCATTGGGGGACTCTAAAACTGAAAACACGGCATCACTGCCATAATGTATTTGCTCCCTATCTTTGCATGGAAAGCTTGTCTTGATGTAGAGGTGGACTCTCACTGTAGGGTGGGATATCCCCTCCATTTTGGCCTCAACTTGAGAGCTTTTTGTGAGCTTGAGAGTTGATTTCAGAGAAAACCAGTGGCACCATCGTGTTTCTAGCGAACTTTTACGTAAGAATCAACAGTCAAATCCCCAATTCCTCACACATGCAACATCTCCATTGACCCTGAATTACTTTAATTGACTCTATATCACTCTGTTCGAATCTAAGTTGGAGTAGTATCTGATCTGTCCACCTCTACATCAAAACAAACTCTCCATGCAAAGATAGGGAGCAAATACATTAGCAGGGTTGCCGTGTTCTCAGTTTTGGAGTCCCCAAATAAAGTGGCAGCCCTGTCAATGTATTCGCTCCCTATCTTTGCATGGAGAGTTCGTCTTGATGTAGAGGTGGACTCTCAGGGTAGGGTGGGATATCCCCTCCATTTTGGCCTCACTTTCAGAGCTTTTTTTGAGCTTGGGAGTTGATTTCAGAGGACACCAGTGGCACCATAGTGTTTCTAGCGAACTTTTACGTAAGAATCAACAGTCAAATCCCCAATTCCTCACACATGCAACATCTCCATTGACCCTGAATTACTTTAATTGACTCTATATCACTCTGTTCGAATCTAAGTTGGAGTAGTATCTGATCCGATCTACGGGTGAATTGTCTCAACCTACCTTCAATGTGGTATGGTATCTACGTTATAATACCTTAATTATATTTGTATTTTAATTACTATTATTATTCACTGAGTGGCACCATCGTCTTTCTCGCGAACTTTTACCTAAGAATCAACGGTCAGATCGCAAATCCCTCACACATGCAACATCTCCATTCGCAGATGAAACCGGATGACCCGGCGTATGTCTCGGCCTTCAACCAAATCATCAAGGGTGCAACTTGTAGAACCATCACACCGAAGACGGGTCAATTGTACAAGAATCGATTCGACGGAGATTGTTCAAGGGCTTTCGCCGCTTTGACGAGCATCGGACTCAACGTTTGCACCGGTTGGCGGGGCGCCGCATGCCGCAGAATGTCCAACACTTGGGAATGCTCGGCTCTCGTCCCGGTCTCGAGAGGGATGGAAATAACCAGGACCCTCGACAGTTGCGGGCCGAATCTTCCTCCGCCGAGAGACCCGCGGTTGAGGTGTTTCACCGGAGCGGGGCAAACGTCGGGAACCAGGAAGAGACGTCATAGTCCTCCCGCACTCCCCGTAGGGTCCTCTAAAAACACCAGATTCAATCCTGGTCCTCCGTCCGCTCATCAGGCCTCGGGATCTTCATTTCCTCCAGGTTTCTTCTTTAACAAAAATAATAATTGACAATTTTAGCCAAAAAAAATCATAAATTATGCCCAGAGGCTAATTTTAGCTGCCTTCCTCCCCCGCCCAAGGTTTCGTTTGTAAACCCTAAAATAAAGCTGCAAGACTAACAGCGTGAAATACCTACTGTGTTCGATTGGTCAGGTTGAAGGGTTAATTATAGCTTTCGCTTATTTCAACTGTAGTTCAGGTTTAACAAGGTGATGAAATAGTGCTGGGTTCGCACTATTAGGGGAGAAAACACCTAAAAAGTTTGTGGCCTTTTTAGACTGAAAAAAAATTCTCGGCGTTTTTACCAAGGTCCATTGGTACCTTTACCATCACACCTTTTTACCAATTATTGGTAATTTTACCAAGACAGACTGGTAATCTTACGTAAAAACCGGTATTTTTACTGTTTTTTCAGGTAAGGATACCGCACTTTTATTGGTGATCAATGCCCGGTAACTTTGCCATTTTATCTCGGTAATTCTACCACAGTCGATAAAAAATATTGGCGTTTTTACCAAGGTCCAGTAAAGTTACCGAGAAAGTTCAATAATTTTACCGAGATTTCTCGGTAAAATTACCAATTCCATTGATGGTAATTTTACCAAGAAAAAACTGGGATCAAAAAGAACCCTGAATTCTTGGTAATTTTACCCTTTTCTTAGTAAATACACCGAGATTTTTTTTCAGTGTATCATCTAATATTTGGACGTACTTCTTCGAGCACCTTCACTGATAGAGAATGGCCATTCGTATCTTTTTACTAAAGGAAAACTGTGCCGCTTTTTGGTCTACGAGTTTTTAGGCTTCAATTTTGTGCCGGTTTTTCATTGGCCGCGCGAATAACATAGGCTGGCACGGTGTTCTTGCTGCAATCACACGCTGAATATAGCAGCTGAATATGGAAGTCAACAGTCATCGCCCAACGGCTGAAATTTCGCTAATTCGAGTTATTTTCATCCAGATGTGTGTCAAATCTTCTTGAACAGCTCAGGCAAATCCGACATTAGTCCGATGGTTGCTGAGAATCGTTGCTGAATTTTGCGCGTCACGCGCAAAATTCAGGCATCGGGCCGATGACTTCCACATTCAAGCCACATTCAGCACCCACATTCAGCGTGCGATTGCGGCATTACGGCCGTGATTAATTGTAAAAATGTTTTGATATCGGCGGAGACTATGTTGAAAAGTATGGTCAGGACCTCATTACTATGAATAATAATTAAACGTTTGCTCGGTTCACCTGTTATTTGTTGAGATACAAACTTCTATCGTGCGAATCATGTCCAGTTTCAAAATGCTAAAATTTGGACCCGCGGAGCACGGAGGTTCGTGCGGAAAAACCGCATTTTCTCGGCACCCAGTAAGCCAAATTATAAAAACTTTAGCTTGTTGAAATGCTGGAAGTATGGCCTATAACAACGTTTTTATTGATTTGTTCTAGCTTTAATAGTTGCAGAGAAAAAAAAATAGGGAAACTTACTTTTGGAGCGACCCTTGTATCATAATTTCATCACAAAATTGATCTTTCGCATCATTTAAAATGGTTGAAATTGGCCCAAATTTTGGTAAATATTTTTTTTACCAAGTGTCATCTATTGCCGCCAGGGGAGTGGAACATTTCAGAATTTCATTTTTTTGACGCACCCTAGGGGCCAGTGGTGGGTCTCGCTTTGTCTCTAATTATGTCAGCCGGTAAATGGTGAATTGCGCCGGTTCCCCCCGTGTTTTAAAATTTTTAAGAAGGGTTTGACAACGCTGCAGATCAGCTCAGTTGTAGCAAAAGCAGATGGGGATGGAATATGATTTATCTCACAGGCGGTATGAAGCCCTAGAAAATATTTTTTTCACATTTATTTTTCCACCAATTTTAGGGCCGAAAATTGTCTCATTTTTCTTAAAGTTCAACCTGTGTGCGCTACATTTGTTGATGATATAACGACTATTTTCGGCCCCTTTTAGAAACAACATATCGACGGTGAAAGTCGGCAATCACATAACTCGGTTTGCGACGTCGCAGACTTCCTGTCATACTTTATTTTTTAAACGGAAAACTACTCAACGGTAATTATTTAAAACTGCCGTGATTTTTCTTCTATGTGCGAAGAAAATTCTGCAAAAACTTCAAGGAATCATGTCCATTTGTTCTTCTTTAAAAAAATAACATAGTTGCGGAGATTTTCAGACACCGCAAATGAGTTATGTGATTGCCGACTTGCACCGTCGATATGTGTTATCGGATTCTTCATGATCGCACATGCTTTAATGGACGAGCCAAGATATCCACGTCACTTTTTGTAAAATATAATCGAAATATGTTATTCACCGGTTACTGATACTGCCGTGCTAAGGAAGAACGCCGTATGAATATTCGAGAGTTGCCAAATAAAACCTGTATATTTGACAACATTCATGATTATTTTTCCTGAAAATTTTCAGCTATTCTAGATTACATTGCGCACAAAATCGGAAAATAATACTCGCAATTTTCCCAGTAAACTCGGTTTTTATCGAAGGAAACTTGGCAACACTCGAGGCTCATACGGCGTTCTTCCTTAACACGGCAGAATACATTGCCGCAAGATCATCTCACTCTGCTAATTACTGGTGTACAATCGGGTATCAATTATCTTTGCAAAATGTGCCTCGCAGAATCATTTTGGTGTAATTTTGATTAACTAAAAAATGTATTATATAGACACCTGTCCACTAATTTATATTTACCTCTAGGCGTGCCTCCGTACACCGAAGGGTTTTCCGTGGGTTCCTCATCATCATCGATTCCCCCGTTCAGTCAAAGGGCTACCTCCAGCTTTGATGTTACGCAGATAACAAGACTAGGCATTTCAAGAGATGATCTGCAGTCATTTGCCAATCCATCGCATGTAGCACAACCTACAAGACTTGGTACGGGAGGCCCATCTGGTGTAAGTGGTCAAGTTCAAAGTCAAGGTCGAGGTCAAAGTTATAGTCTAGGGCAAGGTAACCTTCTATATGCAGTAATTTTATTTAATTTCTCACGGTTTCCACAATTTTATGCGTTTTTTTTTTTTTTCTTGATTTCTCGGAACTAATAGAGTTCCCGCAAGAACAGTGTTACTCGATGGTGAAACCTCTAACCTCCTCACAGTTTGACACGTTGGAGACTTGCTGTCATACATTATTTTTTAAATTTCTGCGATTTCTCCTATCTGTAAGTCTTGAAAGACGATCAAACTAGACCATTTGATGACCGTTGGTCAGCATGTATTTTTCTTTAATTTTTGACTATTGAGGAGTGTCACCATTCATTTTTTACCGCAAGGAACATTTCTGCCAAGTTCTCGTTTGAAAATAATGCGAAGTAACGATTTTAGGAAAACTCACAATTTGGATGGGAATGGATCACTAGACAAGGTACGTATTTAAGCACTCGGATACATGTTTCAAGGCCAGAATTTTACGCAGAACACAATTCTTGCATCAAAAATAACTAAAATCAACTCCCAACCAAGATATTAACGTTTAAATTTTACATTGGATACATTGGCCCGGTCACAAGAAACAATACTCTACGCGAGTCAAATCGCGCACAACAACGGTATTGGCAAGCTTTATTAATCAAACATTGTTCCTTTCCCACCTCAAAGTGTATAAACAATTCGTTATAGCTGAGCGTCAAGATTGAGATTGCCATATTTTCGTGTCGCATCAGACACTACCACGATAGTGTTTAGTTTGAGATCCTACGCACGTAAACCATTAAGTTTTCATGGGCGGGCGGTTAGAATTCACGCGTCAAAAAACATTAAATATCTTGGTTGGTAGTGAATATCAGTAATTTTCGTTGCAAGAATCGTGTTCTCCGTTTAATTTGGTTTCAAGACATTTTGTCAACGATTTTTTGTCCGCGCACCTTTCTTGTCCAGTAGTTTACGCCCACACGTAAAATATGCAACAGTGACTTGGTCCAAGCGTTATATTTTAATCGGTATGTAAAAGTATATTGACGATATGGAAATGAAAAATTGAGAGAGAAGGAGGTGTTGTTATGGTTGCTCATTTTCTAAATGAAATGTTATTACTTTCTCCTTTTGAATCATCTTTCTAAATTATCATAGGTGAATATTTGGTTTTATTTCTATCCTTGAAATATTGAATGTACAATATACCTTATATGTGTATAGGTACTTTTTTTTATTTTTTCTTTACAAAATTATTACTGCATTTTGAAAACATTTATATTCTTAAAACGTGACAAATGTTTGTAAAACCTTTTCCAAGCGACATTAATCTCAACGAGCCGCAGTTGTGCCGACAGAAAATGCAAAAATGAATAAAAGAGGGGAAAAAAACAGAGAGGCACGCAATCTTTAGTTTTAATCAATTTTTACATCGATCTTTTAGAGTCAAATACGTCAAATTTTGACGTTGCGTTGAACTGTAACTTTAAACATTGGGACGCGCTTGCTACGGCGCTTTGATACAACTATACAACCTCGACGGATGTCCGTATTGCGTTCAAAAAATTGAAGGCGTTTTGAATTCCTACGCATGATATCTGTAGTTGATTCGATCGACAAACGCGTTGGTCGGCGGTGACGGGGACTTGATGCAACTATTTAAGCTTGTTGGATGTCCGTATCGGTCCGACTGAAGTGCGAAACCACGTATCTCCATTGCGGTGTTTCAAAATTTCCGTTCTCAATTCATCTCTTCCATGAGAAACAATCCAAATTTACGACTTTAAATTTCGAACCAAATCTTCTGCTATCGAATACGAAAAATCATGGAGAATTTAAGTTCTATGTTGACCAGTTTCTCGAAAGAGAAATAAAATTTCTAAGGAAGTCTGCAACGTCGCAAATGGAGAAACGTCGTCTCTCATTAGCCCAAAAATATGTATGTATGCATTATGACTGGCCTCTCTCAACTTATATTCGTCTGTAACGATAAACAATGGGACGCGCTTGCTACGGCGCCTTGATACAACTATACAACCTCGACGGATGTCCGTATTGCGTTCAAAAAATTGAAGGCGTTTTGAATTCCTACGCATGATATCTGTAGTTGATTCGATCGACAAACGCGTTGGTCGGCGGTGACGGGGACTTGATGCAACTATTTAAGCTTGTTGGATGTCCGTAACGGTCCGACTGAAGTGCGAAACCACGTATCTCCATTGCGGTGTTTCAAAATTTCCGTTCTCAATTCATCTCTTCCATGAGAACAATCCAAATTTACGACTTTAAATTTCGAACCAGATCTTCTGCTTTCGAATACGAAAAATCATGGAGAATTTAAGTTCTATGTTGACCGGTTTCTCGAAAGAGAAATAAAATTTCTAAGGAAGTCTGCAACGTCGCAAATGGAGAAACGTCGTCTCTCATTTAGCCCAAAAATATGTATGTATAAAAGTGAAGGCATTATGACTGGTACCTGTTGAGAATACGGGAACCAATCAGGAATGGATTTACATTGTCTTTACATTCAGTATGAAGGGACTCTACCAAAACTGAGGTCCCGGGCTCCATCCCAGAGATGATTGATATTTGAGGACACTCGGATGCGAGTCATCGGGTCCCAATATTGTCGTGCGTAGGAAGAACGTCGTATGAACATTCGAGTGTTGCCAAATTTCCTTCCGTAAAAGGTTTATTTATTTGGAGGAGTTATGAATATTTTTCCTTGAAAGCTCAGGAACTTTATGTAAAATTTCGAGCAAAATTATCTGAAAGATTGGAGGGAATAAATCCATAAGTTTACCTTGAAATTCGTGTTTTATGAAAGGTAATTTGGCAGCACCTGAAGGTTCATACTGCGTTTTTCCTTAGCACGGCAGAATAATGCGTCTCTTTTGTAATTGGACTGCATTTCGCAATTTGGAACTAGAAATTCTGACTCTTCTGGAAAAACACTTACGTGCATAGGAAAACTAATGGCACATACGTTGTTTTTAAACCGGGCTAGAATCTATAGGTCCAAATTTCGAAATGTGGTCTAATTGATGTTCGTCAATAAAATAAAATAATGACCTTCAGCCATCATGGGTGCTCAGAGTGTAAACCCTGAAGGCAGCTCAATGTCATATGGAAGATTTGTAAGCCACTGGGCACTCTGACAAATGGGTTCACAGAAGTCGCAGCCTAAACATTACGGAATCATTTATGTTTTCAGCGGCTGGAAAACAAAGTCTGTCAGAGGCGCAGCATCGTAATAACTGTTAAAAACAATAATGTCCTTCCCATTTTGAAAGGAAGATTGCGTTCACTTTTGCTCTTGCTTATAATTTGGGTATATTTTGATTCGCTCTACTCTAATTGATCCTGAAATTACTTTAACTGACTCTATATCACTCTGTTTGAATCTAAGTTGGAGTAATATCTGATCCGATCCGAAAGTGAATTGTCTCGACCTACCTTCAATGTGGTATGGTATCTACGTTATGATACCTAAAATATATTTGTATTTTAATTATTATTATTATCATTCACTTTATATTTTTAAACATTTCGATCGTCCCTTTCATTTTCGCCGAGTCTCAGGGGAGCACGGGTTTTAGAAGGAGCAAGAGGAAGGGACCGGTTGCTTCGTAGACATTTCTGCAGTGTTAAGCAAGAACGCCGTAAATCTGTGAAGATTTGCCCGCGTTTCGTTTTTAATCCAACACTTTATAAAATAAAAACTATTTTACCCGTGTACCTCAAATTTTCAGATTAAGTTCTTGACAGTATTTGCGACAGAATTATGTAAAAAAAATCGTCCAAGGGTACCTACACAAGTTTTTCTGCTATAAAACATTGTTTCCAAAAAATTTAAAATGGCGCTTACGGCGTTTTTGGCGTTGCACGGCAGATTCTGGATCCCCCTTGCTAGTTGCTGGGGGAACTGAAAACCGGTACTTTCACCACAACCCGATTTTTTCGAGGCATCGAATATTTTGACTCTCCAGCTTCATTATAATTTGGACCACATTAAGCAGAAAGGAACCAAGCCACATCAGCTTGTGCCAAATTTGATTGGGCAATTTATTTTTTTATACGAATACGGTTGTGTGGATTTGTGTACAAATTTCAGAGAATTCTCCGTGGAGTACGAAGCGAATTTCAAAACATTTTCTAAGAGGCCGTTGAAATGTTCTCTTGTACAAAATTAAGTTACCTGGTCGAAGCTGGCAATAGCTGATTTGGCTTGGTTCTTTTCTGCTAAACGCGGTCCGTTCATTGTTATATGGACCGCGTTTAATAAAACGGGACCAAGCCACATCAGCTATTGCCAAATTTAACTGGGCAATTTAATTTTTTCCGAGAGAACGTTTGTGTGGATTTCTTTGGAAATTTGAAGGGATTTGCTACGTACTCTGAAGAAGAACCGCTGAAATTTACACGAAAATCCGCACAACTGATTTCATGTAAAAAATTTAATTGCCCGATTAAATTAGGCAATAGCTGATGTGGCTTGGTTCCTTTCTGTTTAACGCGGTCCATATGTGTGTAATTCATACGTGATGTTGTCAATTCTTTTTCCTGTGCATCTATTTTCAGAAATCAACCAATTGCCTAAAAGTTTTGAGTGCGACAAATGTGACAAAAAATACGGAAACAAAGAAAGTCTAACTAGACACATGGAATATCACACTGGCCAGACAATTTGTCCATTTTGTACCAATGGAAAACGTTACGGAACAAAAGATGCCCTCAGGAGTCATATAAGGTCCAAGCACCCGAAGGAATGGTCAGCACCACCACAAAAATGATCTCTTCAAAATATCTGGATGAATATATTATGGAACTAAAAAAAGAAAAATGAAAAAAATGGGGTTGGTTATATTTTAGTCGAACGGATATAATTTAATAAGTCATGCACTGAAAAAAAATTCTCGGCGTTTTTACTAAGGTCCGTTGGTACCTTTACCATCTCACTTTTTTTTACCAATTATAGGTAATTTTACCAAGACAGACTGGTAAGCTTATACCTAAAAACCAGTATTTTTACTGTTTATTTCAGGTAGGAATACCACTTTTATTGGTAAGCAATTCCCGGTAACTTTGCCATTTTATCTCGGTAATTCTACCACAGTCGATAAAAAATATTGGCTTTTTTACCGGGGTCCAGTAAAATTACCGAGAAAGTCAATAATTTTACCGAGAAAAAACTTGGATCTAATAGAACCCTGAATTCTTGGTAATTTTACCCTTTTCTTAGTAAATACACCGAAATTCTTTTTTCAGTGTGCACCATGTAGTCATGCAATCATGCAAACCGTGTAATCATGCAATCATCCAATTGTGTATCATAGCATGACGTGTACTACAGTTCCGTCAGAAGCTCATTATGTACGTATTATAAAATAAAAAAATAATAAACATATAAATAAAATGATAAGGAGAACCTTTATACTATACATGTTTCTTTTAGTTTATTTTTACATATACTGTTACATCCTGAGTGGAAGCTATTCAAGTGGCCAGCAGTCGAATTCACGGCTACCGGGAAATCCATGAAACAGTTAATAAAGCGCTTTACCCTAAAAACCCTGAATTTTAATTGATCCTAGGTTAAGGTAACTTACCCTCTACCCGCTCCAAAGACATAAAGACGGAGTGCTAAAAGCAAAAAATGAAGCCTCTTTTCAATCACCTCTACTATTGGCTAGAGGATTGGCGGCGAAATCGGGACAAGTTTGAAATTTAAATGTAGGGCGGGAACTAAATAAAATTGCGGAAACAAAGTATTCTAGGTTGATTTTTGCCCAAATTCACTTACCCACTCATATTTTTTTAACTTTAGGTTAGCTTTGGTCCGTCGTCGACCGATTAATTTCATTTGGGAGTAACGGTCATCTAGGACTGTATAACGGCCTGTTTGAACCGGCAGAACCACCATGAGCAAAAGAAAAACTAACTTTATCTGAGATTACCGAGCAAAAGTAGGTGTATTATAATAGGACGCAGTCTTAACTTTCTTAATATATTCGTTTTAGGCATTTAAAACACGTTTAAAAGAAGAAATGTGAAAAAATCAAGAGGACAAGTTCAAATCAAATTTCCGTATGTCGCCATGGATTCCCGCGCTCATTTACACACTCACACAAGCACCCAGCGCCAAACCAGGCTTCACTTTTTCCCCGTGCTTTTCGATACGAGCACTCCGTCTTTATGTCTTTGACCCGCTCTGAGGGCCCAAATGGGTGACAACGTGAAAAACGAAAATCACTAGAAAAGTGCCGCTGCCAACCTAAGCTTTGGGAAGACTTTCAATATCTTGCTGACAGCGCATCACAAACAAGCGTCTTTAGGGATTAAAACTTTGAAACTGAGAAAATGTAAGCGAAATCAAAGTTTTATACGTGCTTTTATAATTCTTGATCCGTGTAAATAGTTGGAATGCGAAAATTAGTGCCACTGGATAAGTCGAGTTCATAGGCTGGCTCCCTTTTTTGGGCCCCAAAAGCTACATGACCTAATCAAAACTAACCTCCAAATTTTCGAGTTGTCCATACTCTCCCTGAGTAGGTACTCTAATATTACCTCGTCTTATTTCTCCGTGTTTGTCTATCAATTTCAACAATAAGCCCGCTGGTGGACAAATCGTCGATTCATGCGACTGAGCTCTTTCTAAACTTCGATTCAAGCCAGTGACGTGGCGTGAATGATCGATTATCGATTTATCCTCATTTAAAGCTATGATAAAGAATCGATCATTAAGGAGTTTGTTGCGGACACCCTGTTAACCGATCCTTTTTCGTAGGTTTAAATGGCATATCAATCGATATACCTCAAAGCACGCCGCGCCGAGCCACACTGGTCAAGCCAACAAGCTCTTTTTAACAGTTCGATTTAGTTTATAAGTCCGGTCATACCTACGAAACGAAGTAGGCACAGCTGAATAAACCGAGAGGAACGGTTATATGAGCCCGAAATAGTGCCGCGCTAAAGAAAAACGCCGTATGAATATTCGAAGGTTGCCACATTTCCTCCGATAAAATGATAATTTTGAAGGTGATCATTAATGAACTCTTTCTCCCGAGATTTTCCGAGAATTTAGATATGATTGTGAATGAAATTCTCTGAAAAATTGGAAGAGAAAAATGTGGAGATTTCCCTGATTATTCGTATTTTATCAAAATACATTTGACAACCTCTGAGAGCTCATAGGGCGTTTTTCTTTAGCACGGCAGCATAGAACATCGTACTCTGGCGCACATAACCAAACTTTCTGGCCAGCATCGTCTGGATACAACTATTCGTGCTCTGGGGTAGTCCTCGTTGCATATTCAGATAATTGAAGGCGCCCTGATTTTCTTAGCATTTCTCATCGCGCGCCGCGCTGTTTCATGATACCAAGCAAACCGACGGTGAAACTACCAAACCACGTATCTCGGTTTGCGACGTCGCAGACTTCCTGTCATACTTTATTTTTTAAATGAAAAACTTCTTAACGTCCAGTCTTGAAAATGTCTGTGATTTTTCCTCTTTGTGCGGAGAAAATTCTGTGAAAATTTCAAGGAATGATATTGATTCGGTCGACTTCAAAAAAATAAAATGCGAGCGTAGATTTTTAAACACCGCAAACGAGATACGTGGTTTGGTCGTTTCACCGTCGAAACGCAACTTCAACATGGCCGACGCCAACCCGCCAAAACACGCGTGCCGGGACTGGATTTTATCAACCGACGCACAGTGGATCGAGTCAATAGGAGAGGTCAGACAAAATTTGGAAACTTTAAAAGCTTATAACTCCGTTGAATCAAAACTTTGAGATTTTATAAAGGGTACATTTGGTTTCCTCGTGAAATTTACTCCTAAGAGTACCCCTTAAAATTCAAAATGTGACGAATTAAACATCAAAATTTTCAGTTTTAGTCGACAATTCCATGTCCGACCTGACTCGGTCCACTGTGCGACGTGTTCATTTTTACATTTTCCTTGCGTTGATAAACACCAAGGTGCTTCCTCGTGATTTGCACGCGGGAGCGTCAACCACGCTGAATATCTTCTGCATTCCAGTGCGCAAGGGTTGCACTGAAAAAAAAATCTCGGTGTATTTACTAAGAAAAGGGTAAAATTACCAAGAATTCAGGCTTCTATTTGATCCAAGTTTTTTCTCGGTAAAATTACCATTTATGGAATTGGTAATTTTACCGAGAATCTCGGTAAAATTATTGAACTTTCTCGGTAATTTTACTGGGTTTTGGTGAAAACGCCAATATTTTTTATCGACTGTGTTAGAATTACCGAGATAAAATGGCAAAGTTACCGGGAAATGATTACCAATAAAAGTGGTACTCTTACCTGAAAAAAACCCAGTAAAAATACCGGTTTTTAGGCAAGTTTACCAGTCTGTCTTGGTAAAATTTCCAATAATTGGTAAAGAAAGTGAGATGGTAAAGGTACCAACGGACCTTGGGAAAAACGCCGAGAATTTTTTTTCAGTGTGGATGGAACGATTCCTCTGTCGTCTCACAAAATGTTCATCTGCAGGGCCGTGGTATCGTTTTGAAGCGGGAAGCTTAAAAAACGCATATTTTCTACGCAGATTATGAAGTTAGGAGTGTATTTTTAACTTTACCGATGCGCTCGTCGTGATTTTTGAACCATTTTCTATAGGAAATGACTCTTTTTATGTGCCAGCTGAAGTTTGCAAGAGGCGCACTGCTATAAATCACATTAAAGTCATCGCTGTCCATGAAAAAGTGAACATTTGGACGCATTCTAATCAAAAGGAAGTATATTCATTGTTTCATGAGCCCTGTAATGCGTGTATTCTAATACACTTTAAGGCTCTCGTCAGAATGGATATAGTTCCTTTTGATGTAAAGACGTCCATTTTGGGTTAATCCTACATGATCTCGTGTATTCAGCTGTATTTCCCCGGCAAAAAAAGTGGCGTAAGTGAATAATGAGTGCCCTCTCGCGTGTATGCACCTCTAAGACTGCTTACTGTGTTCAGTTCCAGAATGGAATCTCTTTATCACAGCGGGTAGAAATTAGCACTAAAATCTTAATCTGTTCTTTCTTGCGCTATCTCAATCTTTTTAGTTCAGGGAAACTTTATTATGTCCTGATAAGTCTGCAAGTTTTACGTCTTCATGGTAGCCACTCTGATCTTAATTTTGACTGTGGTAGACGAAGATGATGGTGATATAATAGAGATCAAGAAATTATTGAAATTTGTTTTAAGGTGCTATGCCCCCTAAAAATTCATACATTGGAAATAAGCTCTGATCGAACTTCGCTGGATACTTTTACCGAGAATTACAGTATTCCTATGAGTATCATTCATTTCTCCCTCCCTAATCCAATTTTCTGCGGACGTAATGTGTTTTTATCAGTCTTTGATACCTACATGAAAACCTCTAACTAATGAGCCAATTAGAGGGCGGCACAGAAATGGTTAAACTCTCCTGAAGGGGAGTCCCAGACTACCTCCCTTGGGGGTCTTTACGTCGAGGATCGAGATTTCCTTCCCAATATCCTTCAACCCTTCATACCTAAAAATTTGTGAGCCTAGAGCATGGCTATGTACTGCCGTGCTGTGGAAAAACGCCGTATTAGTGTTCGAATGTTGCCTAATTTCATATCTTAGAAAATATTTATTTTTGAAGAAAGTTATGAATATTTTTCCCTGAAATTTTTAGACACTCCAGATCAAATTGCGAACAACATTCTCCAATGAATTGGAGGAAAAAGACCAACAAATTCTCCCGACAGTTAGATATTCTTTAAGGGAAATTCGGCATTTTTTAACATTCAAACATTTTTCTACAGCAGAATATTACCTCTCTACGATAAAAGTACAATATTCGTTCACTGCGATATAGTAGTGCAAACTTTTTTATGAATTTCAGGGAATTTTCACTGTGACGTGTGGCTCATACAATCATTGATTTGCAAGATAGTCCGTCCGTTCTTTCTCCGAAGGAATATTTAATGCGATAATTTTAATTCATAAATGCACTTTGACGATAGCTGATGTGACCTAGTTCCTTTTTGCTGAACGCGGTCTAAAAATCTCCTCTAATCTGTGATGTAGTTATCGCATCCCTCCACCTCTAGATTTTTGCCCAACCCCATCGCAAATATTTCAATGTTTTACAGCATTACATTATTTTTTCAACATTTTACAATTATTATATTTTCCCCCTAATTTTTTGTAATGAATTAAAGTTTATTATAATTGCGTCTTTTTCTAGTTTTAATTCATGTCGATGTATTCATGTTATTACTGTTCTTTCTTGTATTATTGTCGGTTGTATTTAATTTTATGTCTGCTCCGGCAGAATAATTCGGCATCCCAATTTACCGGGCAGATTAATGTTGTTTTTTATTTTATGTTTTACATTTTGAATAAATATCTTGTCAATCTATCTATCTACAGATTTTCACGGTGAACCCTTTGTAACGAGGAGTATGGATTCCTTCTTACCAACAACGATTTCCATAGTTTTTCTTGCGATTCACACAGAAGCGGCGGGCGTGATATTATTTTCGAAGACGAATTTCACCGGGGATCAGTGCAATATTTCATTTCCGGGCTGTAAACCAGTTTGCGCAAAAGTGTTGGGCAGCATATTGTCACTGAAGGCACCCACATATCTATGCATGAAGTTCTACACCACGGCTGATTGCAAAGGTGTACCTGCTACGTACATAAGTGCAGAGAGAGTATTGCCCTATGCGGCTCCAGGCTGGAGGAATATGAGCGACACACCACACATGAAGGCGAAAGCCATCGGAGATTGCAAACAAGATATAGGGGTAAAGTTTTAACGTTTTCTTGCCGAAAAGGGAGGTGAAGACTAGATGCATTCGAAATCTAGAATACTGGAACTACTTTTTGCAATTAGGAACTTCAATGAGGATGTTGCATGTGTGAGGGATTTGCGATTTGACCATTGATTCTTATGTAAAAGTTCGCGAGAAACACGATGATGCCACTGGTTTTCTCTGAAATCATCTCCCAAGCTCAAAAAAAGCTCTCAAAGTGAGGCCAAAATGGAGGGGACATCCTACCCTACCCTGAGAGTCCACCTCTACATCAAAACAAGCTCTCCGTGCAAAGATGGGGAGCAAATACATTAGCAGGGTTGCCGTGTTTTCAGTTTTGGAATCTCCAAATAAAGTGGCAACCCTGCTAATGTATTTGCTCCCTATCTTTGTATGGAGGGTTTGTTTTGATGTAGAGGTGGACTCTAAAGGTAGGGTGGGATATCCCCTCCATTTTGGCCTCACTTTGAGAGCTTTTTTTGAGGTTGGGAGTTGATTTCAGAGAAAACCAGTGGCCCCATCGTGTTTCTCGCGAACTTTTACATAAGAATCAATGGTCAAATCGCAAATCCCACACACATGCAACATCTCCACTTCTGGCTCATTCATGAAAATAATTATTTGTATATTTCGTCACCTTCTGGTCAAAGTATCACAAGCGCCATGCGACGTTTGAAATTTCCGGTGCCATCTTATTTTTTTGCGGAGAAATTAAAGGATGAATTTGTCTGAAAATTTCACTGAATTTTATCGGCGGCGCAAAGAAAATTCAGTGAAATTTTCGGACAGCTTCGTTGAACAATTCCTCTGTAAAAAATGAAATTGCGGCGGGAACTTTTAAACGTCGCATGACGCTTGTAATACTTTGGCCGGTACGATTTTTCGGAAACGAACGGTACATGCGTTGTTTCTAAACTGAATCAGAAATTATAGCTCCTATAGTCAACCTATAGTGGGTCACTAAACCTTGTAATTTTGATTCGATATTCTGAAAATATTCTGAAATTCGCGGTATTATTCAGATTTTTTTCTGATTTGGGAAATTGTAGGCAAATAGATTTAAATTTCTGAAAATCTGCCGCCTCGTGACGTCATCAGGTGGCATTGCCCTGTCAAACTCATACACTACAGCAGTAGGTCATTTGGTTATAAGGCCTCTGAAATTGTACATTTTATAATGTAAGTACGAGGGGTTTTTATGCTCAGTTCACGCAGTAGTTTCCTCTAAAAACACGAAATCCTCGAAATGGGCCCGTTGCATGCAAGAGATACAGCCGTGCGAATAGACTTTTCAGAGGTTAAATGACACGAAAATTACGATGGTCACATTAAAAAAGTCTGAAATACACTCCTTACTGCGCATTTTGCGTTGTGAGGAACGCGCTTTTTCAAATTTCCCGCGTCTGGGGGCAGTTTTCTAACGGAAACAATTAACGGCAACTCGCGGCTATTTCCGGTCAACTAAAACTGACAACATAACCTAAAAATCGGAGCTCGTGATATCGTGAAATGAAATGTAGAAGGATTGCGTTGGATATTTAAAAGTTGATCGATTTTTTTACCGCATAAAGCGTATATGGACCACTATAAGAGATCACGTTGGATTTGTAAACAAACTGAAGGAAAAAATAACAACAACAACAACGACTCGGCATCTTCCGGAAATCACCGAGCCCGCCGTTTGCTCGTTTCCGGTGATAAGAAAACTGCCCCCAGACGCGGGAAATTTGAAAAAGCGCGTTCCTGACAACGCAAATTGCGCAGTAAGGAGTGTATTTCAGACTTTTTTAATGTGACCATCGTAATTTTCGTGTCATTTAACCTCTGAAAAGTCTATTCGCGCGGCTGTATCTCTAGCATGCAACAGGCCCATTTCAGACACCTGCAAAGTCTCCATTTCTCGAAAAAAGACTCTAACTGATTCCTCGTATAGATTCCATATGAGTCGGTTGGTCTGATTCCGAATACTTCCGAATGTTACCTAAATTTCAGAGTGTCTGACGTCATCAGGTCGCATTGCCCTGTCAAACTCATATATTATAACAGATTAGGTCATTCGGTTATAGCTCCTCCGAAATTGCCTTTTATATGTACGAGGAGTGTTTTTATGTTCTGTTTACGCAATATAGTTTCTTCTGAAAACACGTCATTCACCAAATTTCAGACACCTGCACTGAAAAAAAGGACGCTGATTTAACATTCTGGATATTAAAAAGTGTGCGACAACTCACAAAACGCTGTTTTATCCGCTACAGCAGTTACTTCAGTAATTTCAAGATGTAAAATTATATCTGCTATTGCGGTTAATAATTCAGCGTTCTGTGAGTTGTTGAACACTTTGTTTGCATCAAGAATGTTAAATCAGCATCCTTTTTTTTCGGTGTGCAGATTCTCCATTCCGCGAAAAAAGATTCTAACAGATTCCTCTTACAGATTCCAGATGAGTCGGTCGGTCTGTTTCCCAATACGTATTTCAAAGGAAAACCTTGCGTGGTTCCTATCAAACAGAAATGCCAAGCGGTGTGCGCGGATATGGCAGGGAAATCAAAGTCGCTCATCGTAAACGCGAAATGTGCCACGCTTTACGCGTCGAAAGACTGCACGGGAGAGGCGATAGACTATATCCGAGACGGACAGAAAGGGGTCGCTTTCCAATATTATCCAGATTGGAACCTTTGGGCCAACTACCCAAAAATCTCCTCCATCAGCAACTTCTGCGGTTAACGGATGAGGGCAGAATGGCATTATCACAAACCAACGTTCCGAAGGATAGGTTTAGGAAAGTCGAAACGCCTTCAACTTTTGTGAATGCAATACGGACATCGCTGCAGCTTTAATACAGTGGATATCGGATATAACGACCTTGAAGGGACCAGCCATATTCGGTCGTTATAGCCGATAGTCGTTATAACCGATAGTGGAACTTTTACGCACGTACCCTATGATAAAGAGCTGAGAACAAGGCTGTGCTGTAGGTGGGATTCCAGGGCCCGGTGAATTTTGCTGCTGATTCATTATCTCTTCAGTAACACCTTCGTTTATTAGCTTTATCTAATTTTATTTGAATTGAATATTTATTTAATTCATTTATTTTTTTATTTTTTTATTCTAGGACTAATTTTAATGAAAACACTTTGTTTGAATTTGTAAAAACAGGGTATTTTATAATATTGAGATTACATGCACTACACACTACATTATGTCTGCACTACATATGCGCAATACCGAGGAAGTATAAAACTTCTAATTTGAATCATAGTCCGTGATTTTTTTTTGCTTCACAATTGTGTTCGTGTACCCTTTTTGTAACGCTCTATGGGCCGAGCGTAAAGTGTGATAAAGTGGAATCGTTCCATTCTGGGTTCAAAATTAGGAATTTTTGAACAGTTGTGATGGCTTCTAGGGCGTCTGGAAACGAGATCCTCTTCTCTTCGGTCTCTGTTGCTGTCGCTCAGGTCGTTATAACCGATCACCACATCTGTTGGGACGCGAAAATGCCGTCGCTATGACCGATATGTCGTTATAACCGATGTCGTTATAACCGATACCTAAATACATTGAATGAATGGCATTTCAGCCGGGATCGATCAGTTTACGTCGTTATGCCCGATATGTCGTTATAACCGATGTCGTCATATCCGATATCCACTGTAATTGCATCCAAACGTCGCTATCGATAGTCCAAGAATTATACAATAAATTCGGCCAGTTAATAGAAAAAGTTAATAACAAGGTGATTTTTGACGTACCTAGTGAATCCTCATGACCCCCTGAGTCCCCCAAAGAAGAATCCTCATCGATAGCGTGACAGCTTTGGGTTTTTTGAGGGAGGTACATGCCCCAAAATCGGTTTTCCGAACATAACATAACAACTATACTCAATGAGGAGAGAAATGTTTTCTCTCCCGAGCAACTAGTTTGTGCTTAGGAAAGGATACATTCCTCTCCTAAGCACCAACTAGTTGTTAGGGAAAGAAAACATTTCTCCCCTCTGCATTGAGTAGTTGTTCTCGAGAGAAATGTAATCTCTCCTGAGCAACTAGTTGGTGCTTAAGAGAAGAATGCATTCCTTCCTAAGCTTTAACTAAATGCTCAAGAGAGAAAACATTTCTCTGATTCGCAGTGAGTACTCTGTTCAGGAGAGACATGTTTTCTCTTTTAATCATAGACCGATTGCTTCCTGTTACCCAGGTTTTCTACCACGGAACCGATATTCCAAATCACAGGACGAGCGCTTCTACTCGAGATATAGACTTTCCCTGCAGAATAATTTTCCAAAGTATGCCTTGAAATGATGTTTTAGCAATGGGGGGGAGGGAGGGGGCATTTGGTGGCTATGGAAAATTGATAATGTGTCATATCGATCCAAAATATCACAAGGATTCAGAAAATGGTGCTATGCGTAGTAATGCAAGCAACCATTCATGCCGGGAAACCGATTTTGGGGCACCCCTCCCCCCCCCCGAAAACCCAAACCAACCGCACTGGGAAAAAAAAACACATTGGATCTAGGGTCTAGACTCTTAAAAACATCGACAAGAAAAAGTACTCTTGATTCAATAAGATTTTTTCTTAAATCAAAAGGAAATCCGCTCAAATTAAGAGGCTTGGTTCTTGATTTAAGCAAAAATCCGATTGAATCAGGAGTACTTTTTTTTGTCGATGTTTTTAAGAGTCTGGACTCTAGATCCAATGTGTGTGTTTTTTTCCAGTGCGATAAGGACTTTTTCTTGAGGGGGGGGGGACGGGGGACTCAGGGGGTCCTAAGAATTCACTATGCACAAAATCAGCTCTTTATTAATTTTTTCCCCTAACTTTTTTATAATTCCTGGACTACAACATCATTCGGAAAGAGGTCCAGGGAAATCAAAACGCAGTCAATGTTTGTAGATGCAATATACACAGAACTGAAGGACGAATAGTTGTATCCTGCCTTTACGATCGACATTGTTCAGAGAGAGGGGGTTAGAAAAGTCAAAACGCCTTTAATAAGTTCTATAGATTTAGTACGGAAAGCGTCACGGTGCGTGCAAAGAGTTCAATCGAATGTGTTCACCCGACGCGATACGCATGTTAGCGCCTACAAGACTGCGCGGATACTTCACGCATTGCGCGTAACCTACCGTGCGCGCTTAAATCCTCGCGTTTCCTCTCGAATGCTGCCGTGCCTAGGAAAACGCCGTGTGTGGATATTCGAGAGTTGCCAAATTTTCTCAAATAAAACATGTATTTTTGAGGAAGGTTGTGCATTTTTTTCCTTAACATTCTCAGATATTTCAGGGAGAATACCGATTAAAACTGTCTGAAATTTTGGGGGGAAATATTCACAATTTTCTAAGTGAATTTGTTTTTGGTTAAAGGAGAAACGGCAACGTCTGAAGGTTCATACGGCGTTCTACCTTGACACGGCAGAATGGTTGATAGGAAAGTTATTTTTTACCGTCCTCGAGTGCGTCTAAATACTTAAAATTTCGAATATATTGATGAATTTTACATTTTTATCTTTTAATATTTTTTTTTGTTTCATCTCTGTTGCTTGACTTAAATAAGAACTTCCGTAAATTCCACTGAATTTCGTATGTTGAATCTTCTTTGGATCTCTAAATTACTTGCGGGACTTATTAATCGTGTAGGTTTTTGTACATATGTAAGATTTTCTAGATCCATACCGTAAAAATCGATTTATTTTTTGCTAAATTCGCATTCATTATTATATTTTTTCCCCGTTTTTTATTCTAATTTTACTGTCTTTGATAATTTTGATATCTCAATTCTAATTCTGCAAGTGATTTTATATTTTAAAGGATTTTCGTTTTTCCGTGAAATTTCCACTTCTTACGAGCAGTCACCGTTTGAGGGAATCCTTCTTTGCGCTTCATCGATGAAAATTTTGGTTTCTTGCCCCTTCATCGGCCCCTACGAAAACCATGCGGAAGGAAAGATGCAACTTATTTAGCTCGTATGTGCACTGTGGTATCACTCGAAATTGAAGGCTTTCTCTTATTTGCAAGGATCTACGGTCGCATCGCGCGGAATATTCTCTCTTCGGGACGATGAGTTATTGTTACAGGGAGAAATATTTTCTCTTCGAAGAATTAGTTAGTGTTCTGGAGAAAAATATTTTCTCTTCGGAGCGATAAGTTATTGCTAGGGAGAGAGTTATTTTCTCTCCGAAGAAATTAGTTAATGTTCCGGAGAGGAATAGTCTCTCTTCGGAACGAGAAGCTTATGCTGGGGAGGGAATTATTTTGTCTCCAGAGAAATAAGTATTAGTGATCTGGGGGAAAACATTTTCTCTTCGGAACACTAACTGATTTCTCCGAAGAGAAAATTATTTCCTCCGTGGCCCTTACTCAGTTTTTGTTACACAGGCGGAAGTCCAATAACTCATGATCCCTATTGTCTTGCAAGATCAACGAAAGCCAGGGCTCATGATTTTTTGGACTATCGCCCGTCGAACAGAAATCGATTCAATTGTAATAGAGAAATTGGACTATATTTTGCAATTTGGAACTATAAATTCTAGCCTGGTTTAAAAACAACGTATGTGCCATTAGTTTCCCTATGCACATAAGTGTTTTTCCAGAAGAGCCTGAATTTACAGTTCCAAATTGCAAAATGTAGTCCAATTAATGTCTGGTGGTTTTTCAGAACAATTTGGCACTATTGCTAAGGCCCATAGCTACGAAGTTGTACAGGTGTTATTAGAACCCGCTATGACTCGTGGCCTTACAAACCAGTTTGTCAAACTTTTTAATGGTGCTGCCTGGTCAATGCTGGTGTGCCAGCAGTGGTGAGGCGTGAAAAATCGATAATCGACGCTTCCTCATTCGAAGGTGTGTTAAAGAATCACCAAAAGGCAAAAAGCACCAAGATGGCGGTGGCTCAGATGTGAAAAAAAATAATGGAAACATAACCCGATTGTGATTTATCAAGAGTAAATTGTTATTTTCATCGCACCGAAATGAAAATAAATTAAGAAATTATTCACAAATCAATCTCATTTTATTTACTTGCAATTTCTTTTTGTTATGGCCTAGTTACACGGTCAAATTCCCGTCAAATTCCGATCAAATTGTGACTGATGCGGACCATCTACCATCAAATTTCTGCGGTCTGCAAAAATTTGATGGTAGATGATTGAGCTGTGGGGCTCATCCTTCATCTGATTTCCGCACAACCGTGCTTATTTCATGCTTATTTCAATCATCACGCTGTTTTAATTAATTTTACTCATCAATCTAGGTAACTCTCGACTGCCATCTTGGTCATCATTTTAATCGGAATTTGACGGGAATTTGATCGTGTAACCAGGACATTAGGTTTTGATCAGTTTTTTTGATGTGTTTTTGGACGACAGACATCGCAGGGTTCCTTATCCTTATCCCTCAATATCGTTCGTTTGGGTGTTCACTTTTGTAATACCATGGCCAGCCCAGGCCAGCTGATAATCGAGATGTCTCAACTCTGGGTATAAAGGGACTCTACTCTGACGGAGGGGCATATCTCAATTTTCACGTGAGCCTCGTTTCACAAATAAATCCACGCTTCCCAGGGCTCATACAGAACTCGAGATACGCCCTTACGTCAGGGGAGGGATGATAAAAGCGGGAAGGACGCGGATCCTGAGCGAGAGAGTGGTGGAGAGGAGGTGGTAGGGGGTGCGGGGTGACTCGACTGCGCAACTCGGAGAAGCCACCGGCAACACCGCAGCGTCGTGCTGTGAAGCATAACCCGCTTAGGGCAGGGGCAACTTTCTCGAACGCCGCTCAGTACGGCTTACAAGCTGGCCCCTCGCAGTTCAACCGAGCAACTGAACATCAGTTAACGCGATAACGCGGGTGTCCACACGCAACTGAACGCGATGCTCACATAATTGCTCTGTTCCCATCGCTTATAATTGGTTGGTCCGATTCAACTCGATTTAGCCGTCGTTTCAATGCGTTTGTAAAAGCTTGGTTGTTTAGTGGTCGGCCCGGGCCGAAAATTAGGGCTACCATGGTCACGTAGCTTACTTGTTGATGCGCCTTTCGTGCTCATCCTGAGGAAATGATAGATCTTCATCAAAGATCTCAAGGTAAGAGGCTTTTTAAGTGGATATTTCGTTATTTGGCAAGCTTTCTCAAAAATGACGCCTGACCTTACTGGCGAATTTCAGAAGGATGAAAATAATTCAAAAACTTTCGGCGATGATTAACAATATTTGGACGTGTATCCAAGTGAATTGGCTCAAAAGAAATCATGTACAAAGGCTTTGAGTGCGCCACACAGTGAATCGAGGGAGTCAGAGAGGTCGGACATGAAATGTTTGACTAAAACTGCAAATTCGTACGTTCATTTTGTCACATTTTAAATTTTAAGGGATGCTTTTACAAGAAAACTTCACGATGAAACAAATTAAACCAGTTTTGGAATTTTAAAGTTTTGTATATAAACGGAGTCATAAGCTTTTGAAGTTTCCAAATTTTGTCCGAACTCTCCTATTGACCCGATCCATTGTGCGCTATACTTCCTCTTAATTTATTTTATTTTATTTTATTTATTTATTTATTTATTTTTTGAAGGTGCTGAGCGTATTTACAATATTTTTCGTGGTAGCACTTGACGTAATGACGTTATGAGGTAGCCAGTGCTATAAATATAAATTATGAAAATAAGCTTACATTTAAATGCTGAAAATCTTCGATTGTGTAATTTAATGAATAAAGGCATATAATGTAAGTTTATTTTCGTTATTTACATCCATAGCACTGGCCACCTCGAGGCACAATCACTTTATTTATACACAATTTCTTTCAGCGGAAATAAATTCATTTAAAGAGGGTAGTTCTGAAATTTGTGGATTTCCTCGAAATTCTCGAGAAACCATCAAAAACTGTCATTGTTGTATATTAGTGGATTTTTCTCAGCTAGAACTAGGACGGGGGAAAAGACTTTGAAGTGAGCCTATTCAGACCTAAAATTGTTATGAATACGTAGATGTCCAGCTACTCCAAAGTAAGGGGTAGACGTAAGTACCCTTATTCTTATCACTTTAGTATTATTTTTTTGGAGGACAGAGTTAATGTGGAAAAAGAAAAGAAAAATTATAATTATCAACTACTAGAATTGCTTGTGTCATTTTTTGCCAGTTCAGACCATGATTCATGCAACCGCATATACTAAACTCCCCAGATCTTCTAATTTTCTTATTCTCATCATCTTTTATCTAGGCTCGATTTTTATGAGTTATGAGTAGGTAGACATGAGCAATTATTATGGCATGGTCTTGTGCGGAGAATTTCGTCACCTTTCGACCAAAGTTCCACAAGTGCCATCCGACGCTTGAAAATTTTCGCCGCCATTTTATTCTTTTTTCAAAGAAATAGTTCAACAAAGCTGTCCGGTAAATTCACTGAGTTTTCTTTAAGCTGCCGATAAAATGCAGCAAAATGTTCAAACAGATTTGATCAACAACTCCGCTGTAAAAAAATATAATGGCGGCGGAAATCTTTAAACGTCGCATGACGCTTTTGATGCTTTGACCGGAAGGTGACGATTTCTGATGCGAGGTTGCCGAAAAAGGTTTTTGAGCGGACCCCTCCAGGCGTCTTAGAGGGCATCCTGCTAAAAGGTGGATATAAGGCATCCAAAAAGATGTAGAGAGTGTGCGAGAGGGCAATTTGGAACGTTGAAACGTATTCAAACCCTCACCGAAAAAAGGTGAAGTTGATATAACCCCTGGTAAAAATTGGCAGTAGAATCTGTGTTCCAAAATACCATAGACCTACGGCCGGCTGTAAGATTTCCAATAGCTTCTATAGTCGGCAACACAATTTCTTATAGCCTTTTATAGCCGATGGCGATTAGGCAACAGCCTGGCGATAAATTATGCTAAACGTTACTAATTACGGATGCTAGGACTTAGTGAGTTTTTGGACTACCGCTCTCTTTTTGGGCCGTAGTATCTTGATTTATTTTGCGAGGAAAGCTCCGTACTTTTGATGGATGCCTGCCATTCCTATTATATTAGAGCGCCTTCAGTTTCGTATGATACTGTGCAATACCTCTGGTGTGAAATAGTTGCTTCAAGCGCCGTGGTACGCTGCGGCGGGCGGGCAGCCAACGCAAAACGCGCATTGGCGCCTACAAACCTAACAGGGATACTTCACGCATTGCGCAATGCGTGAAGTATCCCTGTTAGGTTTGTAGGCGCCAGTGCGTCGCCGCTCCGCTTTGTGTTAGGCTCCAATATTTAATCTCGCGGAGTCAGCGTTTTTCAACTAATGATTTTGAAATGTTTGCACATCCTGTATGGACTTTTCTCATTTTAATTGATGAAAAAAAAATTGTACTAAAGGAAAATATAACATGTGTTTTGTAAATATTAAGGTGGTTCCGTGTCAAACTTAATGATTTCCAAAGCACACGAATTTCTACACAATTTTTTATAGCCTTTTATAGCCAATAGCAATAAAGTGTAAAGCCCGGCGATAGGAACTATAGCCCAACTGTATACTTGTTTATAGCTTCATATAGCCCGGCTATATGATTTGCTCCGTTTTCTACAGCCAGCTATATGATTTTCAATGGCCCTCTTTAGTCGGCTATAAGAACTCCTATGGTATTTTGAAACGCAGCTCCTATCGCCAATTTTTACCAGGGACATTCTGGATGTATACAAAGTTTGCGGGAACTTGTAAAATGCAGAATCACCCGTTACAACAGTTACTCTAGCTCGATACAAGATCAAATTCCGGAACCAATTACCATCAAAGTGTCGGGAGTCATCGGTCTTAGAATCATTATTTTGCTTAATTTTAAGATGAAAACTTGGCATAAATGTTTCCTGTAACAGGAAAAGATGAATGAAGGCACCCCATTTTGATCAAAATTTGACGGCCCGTCCAATTTTGATCAAAGAGGACTCTTGCATGGTGACCACCAGTCATCAACTGGTCTACTTTGATCATAACTGGTTCGGAATTTGATCGTTCGTTCGAATTTACAAGTTCTCGCACACTTGTTTTACGTCCGGAATGTTAAATCAACCTCAATTTTTTTCGGAGCTCTTTCGAAACGACGAACTTTTTGCGGATAATTCTAAATTAGTGAAGAAAATTTCCACACTCAAAAAGCAAGTATGAGAAGAGTAACTTGCCAGCCGAGTTATGGATCATGGAGCCCTAAAATATAGTTCGTGGAGCCATGTTTAAAGGTTCACGACGAATAAAGTATGGCTCAGAAAGCCATACTGTAGACGGTAAGTCACTTTGGTTAGAAATTACGGATCTCCGAGCCATTTTTATGGGTCTCAGAGTCATACCTTTTTTTGAGTGCAGAGCATTTCAATAGGAGATGTCGTTAGATTTCTTTCATAGAAAATAAAAAACACTGAAAAAAAATCTCGGTGTATTTACTAAGAAAAGGGTAAAATTACCAAGAATTCAGGGTTCTATTTGATCCCAGTTTTTTCTTGGTAAAATTACCATTCATGGAATTGGTAATGTTACCGAGAAATCTCGGTAAAATTATTGACTTTCTCGGTAATTTTACTGGACCTTGGTAAAAACGCCAATATTTTGTATCGACTGTGGTAGCATTACCGAGATAAATTGGCAAAGTTACCGGGAATTGATTACCAATAAACGTGGTATTCTTACCTGAAGAAAACAGTAAAAATACCGGTTTTTAGGTAAGCTTACCAGTCTGTCTTGGTAAAATTACGAATTATTGGTTAAAAAAGGGAGATGGTAGAAGTACCAACGGACCTTGGTAAAAACGCCGAGAATTTTTTTTCAGTGCATGAGCAGTAGAAACGTCGCAATCGGAGATACGCAATTTCCGACCTTAGCCATCTAATATTTATGATTGACCGGAGGAAATTGGCCCCCGAAGTTTGCCCTCTTGATGTCATCAAGGCAGACAACGAGGACCCAATCTTACTTTACTGGGAATCGATGCTGGTGTGGGCGTGACGCTACCGGAATCGAAACCCGGTATTTAGTCGAGTGAGTGGATTAAAAAATTGCGGAAATTGAAGGCACTCGAGCGTGCAGGGGGCGTAGGTGAGACGGAGTCTTTGTTTGCTCGTTTTGGCGGGAAAGGACACGGAGTACCGTTGCGTGTTTTTCCAATTTATCACCACCGCCACCGCAATCGCCGATCATGAACTCCACCCCCGAGTATGCTACGATGGGTCACTAAACTATGAACGAATTTTGACTTGCGAATACATTCGTCTGAAGGTAAATCGCGCGTAGAGCACGATACGCAAATTGAAAACGCGAGAAAGTATAACTCGATAACCGAGAAATACGCAGTTCAAATCGCGCAACATATCCGCAAATTTATAACGCCCTGGTTTCGCGCCGAACCGAGTGATATCATCCGGCACCAATCAGAAGCGAGCACGGGTTTCTACGACTTCCGTCAAATGTCTATCTACCCCTCGTATGTGAGAACAAAACTAAAGTCGAACTTACATCTTTAGAATTAAAGAATCGAATCTCATTTATGTTATCTTTAGTGGACAAGCAATAATTTCACAAAGAAAGACGTTTTATTTTAACAAACACGTCAGTGGAAAATAAGAGAAGATTGCGATTTGACTACCGCAGTACATCACCACCGTTAGTTTACCACCATTCGGGTGCGTTTGATATGTCTTGCAGTTTTTAGAGTTTTCAAGAGCGGTTTTCTCCGCGATTTCGGCTCCATAGCTGACACAACAACTTTAAAGGAGGACAAATAACAGTTTTTAAATCCAATCATATACAACTGAATTACATACTTCAATAAGGAACCACTATTTCTGGCCCATTTTAGAAACAACATACATGCCATTGGTTTCCTTACCTAGATATGTGTTTTTATGCTAGAGCCAGTAACAGGCGTTCCTTATTGCAAAACGTAATTCAGATAGTGATTCCTTATTGCAAAATTTGGTCCATCTTACTTGTTAGTTTTGAAAAAAATATTATTTATCCTCATTTGAAGTTGTGTTCTTATAGTGCCGATAAAGCTTCAGCAAATTACGTTATGCAACAACAAAATTTATTCATAACACGGCAGTCATACCGAAACCCGTTCAAGCCA